TACTCTTGTAGAAGTCATCTCTACAGTAGCAGGATGGTTTGCACAATAGATAAAATAGCTATAATTTTTAAACTATGGATTATCTTATTCTATAGAGTATAGAGTGATCTGATTGAATCCTACTCCCTCCTCTCCCAAACGTGAGAGAGAGAAAGAGAAGAATTCCTATACGATACATTTGTACTCTCAAAAAAAATATGGTGCTTATCATTCGAAAATTATATATTCAATTTGCTCGTATGCTTTTTAAAATTTAGAATATCACGTGTACCCATTATCCATAGGGTGAGGTAGAAAAAATTATACATGTACGAGTTGATTAGTTACATAAACAATCATACTTTTTTTTAATCACGAAAAGGGATAAATAATGTGAACGCAGTACGTCTACAAATCTAGTAGAAATTTGAATCCATCAATCATGTTCAATTCTTCGCTTACATAATGCTTGATTCATCCATATCATCCTTTTGATACGGTCAGGATATATTGTGAACTTCAAGATACCCTAAGATCCGGTAAAAAAAAAAAGAAACATTAATAGCCTGTTTGAATGGAGGTTACAGAAGGGAAGGGTAAAGAAAATTTTTGTTTATCTTTATTTGGGAGTTCCATTTAGAAAAGTAAAGAAGGAGAATTTGGGGAAAATTTGAACTAAAATCTTATACCCAAAATTAGGGGTAAAGAAGGGGAAGGGAATGGAAGTGAATTTTTTCCCCTCTTTTCACTTCTCTTAATCATCTCCCAAACACACCATAAAAGAATAATCTTGGTATCCATCAAGTTTGTATGTCCAAGGATACATATTCAATATGACTTACCTATTCCGTATAGCTTGCGAGTTTTCTATGCAGACAACGCTATTTCCAGACGAGGATTCTGTCATGTAACTTGATAACAAATTCTGAATTATACACATTGTTTCGGGTTTTCTATATTGCAATTAGCTCAAATTACAACAACAAAAAAAAGAAATGAAAATTTTGTTTTTACTGGATTCTTTACTGCGTGTTGATGGCGCATCGATTTTGTACTCTGTTGACGGTCCGATTGAGACGATGAGTTTATTGTTGTTAATCTTTTGACTTCATTGCTCGGAAGATAGTTCAGTCTTATCTTAGAACCAAATATCAAAAGAAAGAAAATATGCGCGTGCGTTCTCTCTTCTGTCTTCTGTGCGTGTGTGTGCATATGTCGAATGAACAATTTTCTCCTTTTCTTATAGGCTAAGAGAGAGTTAATGACATTTAATTATGAATTAAGTGGCTATTAAAGTAGGAGATAGTAGGGGAACGGTCATCCCCTTGAAAGTAGCTTTCAAACAGCAAATTGGCGAAGCTCGCTAGAAGTGTTTAATCGAGGCTCACTTGGAGGTGGGTGAGCTATCACTTCTGAAGCATGGATGACATGGCCCACGTGGGTAGCTACTGGCAAAGTTCATTGATTAACTTGTTGGCGAACTTCACTGGTGTTGATGTTATGTGATCACACAGTCAATTGTATCTGTGGTTGGATGAGGTTATTGAGTATTGACGATGGGTCGTTTTCTTGCCCGACTTTATGTCTGGGAGTGGTTGAAGCATGCACAAGTAGAAACTTGTGAGATGACGGGACTTGGTTCCCCGTGGTTCCTCTGATGATCAAGTTAGCTGATGAACATGAGTGAGGAAAAATAAAGAACTATGAGAGTTCTTGTGTGTGCAATATCATATGCAGATAGCAGAAGCAGTTTAAGGTTAAAAGAGTCTATTCAAGAGAAAATCTTCAAAAAGAAGTCCAAAAAAGAAGAATCCTCACTTTGTAGAACAGTACCTCTTATTTATAGTGGTGTCGGAGGGGCAGATCAGTCACTTCGACCGAGCACAGGATGGCGGTGGTGAAGTGTGGGCTGGCGGCTGCGTCAGTACATACTTTATAGGTGTTAGCTGACCACTAGGGGAATGATCACTTCAGCATTAAACGAGAAGTGATTGGTGGTATGGCGGTATCTGCGTGGTCCGATGAGTCATGAAGGCTATCGGGGATAGAGGCATGATGCGTCTGTCATGCACTAAATGTGATGTTGACACGTTGCCGGAGAGAGAGAGAGACTCGATGTAGAAGTTGTCCTTTAGCTTCTCAAAAAAGTAACGTCTTTCGAGTCGTCCTCGCGAGGCGTCCAGTAAATGGTCGAGTGGGCTCGTGGAGAGTCGTCTTCGATAAGAGGGTCGGCTGGTACCACCTTTCGAGTCGACATTAAAGAATGTCGATTTGACAAGTCGGCTAAGTCGGAATCCTCATTGGTCTTTGGCCGCCAACTTGATTGGAGCATAACATGCAGTACACCTGTCCGTTGCTGGGCAATGAGTTGCAATTTGGCGATTGGGAACACCATAACAACTGGTAAGTTCGAATTTAGCACAGAATTCGACTCGCGACTTGGCCAAATCAATGACGCCTTTTGACTCGGCCTAAAGTTTGAATTGGAAGTCGACTCCACTCTTGACTTGGTCGGGTCGAGTAGAGATGAGTTGTGTGGCAAAGCTTACATATTCTGTCAGGCAAGCTCCACTATGACTTGGGTGAGCTTTGCTAATAAGTTTAGATTTAACTCAGAATCCAACATGAACTCGTTATTAACTTGGCAGACTTGAGGATGCCTTTTAGACTAGGACTCAATGTTGATCTAATAGAATATATTTTAACCATCTACACGCATTGAAACTAATTGTTAGACATTGCTTTTGATAACTTCAGCTCTTGGAGATTCGCTTGAATTTTAGAATAAAAAAAAAACTAGGTAAAATCTTCATGTTTTCTTATACATATTAATAAACTTTAGACTAGGTTTTGTTAAATTTGCATGGATTAGTCAAGATAATGATGAATCTTTCTTTCAAGTTAATGGTCAAGTTCCCAGACGACCCTCTTTTATTTCTATGAGGCTAAGCCTTGGATTGGGCAGTCGGTATGTCTAGGAAACGATCACAGTATGAATTTAAATCATATTCATTCATTCATTAAAAGCCAAATTCAGGTTTTGCAGTATACAAATCCAAAACACATGTTCCAAGAATCATCTCTGGATCATGTCATTTTTTATTTTGGGCTAAATTGTACAAACATGCCTTAAAGTTTCTCATTTTGACAAGTAAATACCATTATACCACAGGTTATATTTTGGTGCAATAAAATAAAATTTTCAAAATTTACGCATTATTACTATAGGTCATGCAAATGTGAAATTTTTACCTCAATGTCAACGTGCTAGTTTTAGAGCTTTTCAGTAATGATATTTCTTAAATTTGTTGTTGAGTCAACCAACTTTTTTTTAAGCTTATCTTTATTCGACTTTAGATAGAGTTGAAATATTTCTAATAATAATTTTAACAAATATTAATAGTTAGATAGCTCTAAAATTAGAATGTAAGTATCATAAAGAAAGACTAAAATACTTGATTAGCTTAAAAAGTGACACCATTTTACCAGTTTAGCCTAAAAAGTGAAATCGGCGACAGTTTAGCCTGAAAAGTGACCATACGATGACAAGTAGGTATTTTTGGTGCCGAAGATAAAAAGTTAAAAATTAAGTAATTTTTGCATATGGTCCTCTCACTCTCCTAGATTTTTTGAATTAACCCCCCCAAAAATTTTTCTGAAATATGTAAAAAAAAAAACTCCCTTCCCACCATCTCTCCTTCCTCCTTCGCACTATCTCCTCCATTCTCTTCTCCTCCAATCCCCGATCTCCCCTCCTCTCTCCCATTCCCTCTCTCCCTCCTTGCTCTACCCACTCCCTCTTCATCCTTTAATCATTAAAAAAAGAACAAAAAATCCAACCTCCTCCTCATCCTCTCTTAGACCCAGAATTAAGTATTCTACCAAACACTCAACCCCCTCCTTTTCGTCTTTCCCACTCCCTCTCCTTCCTTGCTCTACCCACTCTCTTCACCCTCTAGTTATCAAAAACTCAATCTCCTTCTCCTCTCTTTTTCCTAGACCTAACATCAAACATTCTACATGAAGTATTAAGAGGGATGAAGGAGAGAGGTGAGAGAAAAGGAGGAGAAAGAGGATGAAGAAGAGAGATGAGCAAAAGAAGTTAAGAAATGTGGGCTTGAAGAAAGAGGGACACGTGGAAGCAATAGGGAAGATATGGGAAGAGAGAGAGAGAGAGAGAGAGAGAGAGAGAGAGAGAGTAGGAGAGAGGATGAGAGATTTGAGGATTGGGATGAGAAAGAGTGAGAGGTCTACAACAAAAGTTAGTTAATTTTTCCCTTAACATTATCTCCAGTGACGAAAATGTCTATTTATTATTGTATTTGTCATTTTTAGGTTAAACTGTCGCCAACGTTAAAAAATATTACTTTCTAATCTAATCTGGTATTTTAATCCATAAAGAATTATTCGGGTGAAAATTTTCATGTTTGCATGATTGATGTTGCAACGTTTTAATTCTAAAAAACTTTATCATATTTTATTGTACCAAAATGCAACCTATGACATTTAATTGTCAAAAGAGAAACTTTACGGTACTTTTGTGCAATTTAACCTTTATTTTGTGAATACCAGGTTTCAGAACAAGACTTCAAATATCCTGTTCACTGCAAAAAGAAAACTCAGCAAAATAAAAACATTCCCTGAATACAAGATCAACGGCAAGATCGCTTAAAGCAGGACCTTTTACACAAACGAAGAATCTAAAGCATAATTACGTAACAGATAGAACGGAAAAACAGAACTAGAGTCATTTACAAGCAAGAAGTCATTAGATGCCGAACCTTACTTACAAATGAACACCCTAGCTCTCAAGAATAGATGTACATGTATTCTCTTGTGCATGGCTACACACATGAAAACCACTAGTCTAAGCTACACCATCCAACAAGAATCCAGTCACAAATTTTTGTAGCGAAAGCGTTGGCTATATTAGAAAATTATCTATCATATGGGTGACGACGTCTACACCATCAGAGTTTAGCCAATAGCTTTTCACCTGGAAAGAAGAGGAAGAACTCAAACAATATCAGCAAAAACAATAATTGAAGAAGGTGTATCTATCACCGGCGACAAAATCCCTTTCGTTCGACTTATCTCTCCAACTTTTATGGGGGCATGCATAGCGTATTCTTTAAAAAATCATAGCGAAGGACTAGAAAAGCATATTCATACGATTAAATAGCTACTGCACATCCTACTGTTATTTATTATGTGATTTATCATAGTGAAGGTATAAAAATTTTGAATTAATGAGGATTATTGTATGGGTTGGAGAAGCACATAGTTTGCAATTCTTATTTTGCATCATATCATTATTTACTGCATGATTTATCACAGTGAAGGCTTACAAAACTTAAATCGTAAAGGGTTGTAATAGATATCTCGTGGACTGAAAAGCCATATTCATAGGATGAAATTTCTCTAGCACATCATATGATTGTTCACTACATGAGTCTCAGGAATTAAATGCAGTCTATATGAGTACATGATAATAGTAAGTGCAATGTTATTTCAGTTGCTCCAACAGAGAGTCGTGGTTATGGAACGACAACTAAGGTGTCAAAAACAAATGTAGCCTACATTTTTCCAAACAAAATATTCAGAATATACATGAATCATATTCATTTAGATTGAAGCTCTTGCCTGGATGGTATTATGTGCAATATATCTTTGCTTGCTGTTTTGGAAGCTTACATCCACGCGCTCCCAAGGTACTTGGGTAAGACCTCTAATCATCTCCTCTGCGAATAACAAAGCCCATCAGAAGAGTTGACAACAGATGATTATTTAGAATGACAATGTCATACAGTTTATCAAAGCATACATATATATCATATTAAAGGTTTACAAAAAACTCCTAATGTCACTTCCAAGCTTTCAAGCACTGAACAAAATGGCATCACATGCTATTTTGCAACTGCTAGGTACCTAACCACACGCACCATGGTGTTAAACTTATTAGCCTACTACAATCGCAATGCATGAGAAACATGAATTTCTTAACTCGGACATGTACAATGTCCACTAAGCAATCCAAGATTTTTACTATAAGAACTGTTTTTGCAATATGGGATGTTTGTTTACTGGAAAGAGGTTACAATAATGTCAATATTTGTGTTGTTTGAGTTGAAACTCATGAGAACATGACTTTCCAATTACTGACAACATACCAGAAAACTAGACCTTCCACCATGGCTACAAAGAGTTTTTATTTTCTTTTTTGGGCCATAATATATCCAGGAGAAGCTATCATTTTCATACTGCATGCCAGCTTAACCTCTGATCCAGATTCCTACTTATTCTCTTTCAAAGTACTAAACAACATTCAACCGTGGATTATGCTCAAGGTTTGAATCTGTCATGCACAGATGTATTTCTCTTTCAACTAATCCTTTAAACAAGCAACAAAGCTGGATTTAAATATAATGCTGTAACGGAAGAGGCATAGGTCACTAGGCATTTGACCTACAAGGATCATCAAGTTCATATAGAACCTATCGCTGAAAATACCAAGGAAGGAGAGAGGACTAAGCAGAGTGGAGTGAAAAGGGTTTTTCCAGGAGATTGGAAATGAAAACTAGTAGACACGTCACCCCCCACAAAGTTTGTGGTCCAAAGTTCATTCCAATCAAATGATCCACAACAGCCAATAGATCCCGTGGTAAAGGGAAAATGTATTGTTCTGGACTTCGGAGGTACATCAAAATCCAGTCTCTAATTCATCGGCCACATCTTTCTAATTCATATATTCCATTTGTCTACAATTTTCCAAGTCTCTCCCTAAGATTTACAGAAATTTTCAAATGGTAAGCAGTTACAATAATTTCCATATGACAAACTTATGACAATTTTCAATAAATCTCTTGCATAAAAGATACATGCAATATAAATAAAAGAATGACTTTCAGATATATATGTCATAAGACAAACCTTCCAAGTCGTACTTTATATTTTCAACATCTGAAGTTTCTTCTTTCTGAACATCATCTTTTCTCATCTTATCCACATAGACGATATGGGGGTACTTCTCGTCTGTCACGAGAAGATGACACTGAAGAGGAAAACCATATATCTCAATTGAAAGAAGTAAAAAGTAATTAGCATATTCACATAGCATGAAATGCAGTACTGATACATACTTTAGGCAATTCATGTTGACGACGAATTGACGATGTTCTCCATCCTACCATATCTTTTTAACCAGTTAAATGTTACAGATAACAAGAATTAACTACTAAATCAGAAATAAAAATGGAAAAATAAAGAGGAAACTGATGGCTCTGCAAAAAAGGATACGATCAAAATTTGCATTGGCATACGACCTGCACAAGACCAAGGTAACTGCACAGATCATTATTTATAAATTATTAAAGCAAACACTTTTAATCCCACAAAACGACTTTGTAGGAGGAATTGGAAAGCCTTACCTGAATTTTATATCATCACAATCATCAACCATTCGGAGTAGAAGAGGAGGTTGGCCTTCATCAGCATCAGTAAGAAATAGATGCTTACCTGTCCTTCCGACTATCAAATGGGCAGTTTCGGATGCCCTTCGCTCCAAAAATGGAAGGCCACAAAGGATAGGAAGCTAGAGAAACAAAAATGTCACAAACAACTAAGGAAAACAATAATTATTATTACAAATATCTCAAAAATCCTTTGCAGAATTAAGACAAGCAATCCATGTACAAATATCTCAATATATGGTAATAGAACAGATATCCAGGATTTGCCAAACAATTATTCTTCATTGCAATATTCTAGTCAAACCATTGATGTTCCTGTGCTGTATGCAAGTTCTGCAGTAATTGCAGGAAATGAAACGTTACATGAGTATGCATGTATACATAAGTTGAAAATTTGACTATTCTTGGTATGTCTTGCCACAACTGCTTATCATATATGCTTGTCTGATAAATAATTAATGATAAACTATACCAAAATTATCAATACCACCAAGACTTTATCATTCAGGCAGTGCAGACGCATTTATTTGAGACTTTTTTGGCTGCCTATCCGCAGCGGCTACAGCATGATACTGTGTTGCACTATTGTTTTATGGACATGAAACAAGGGTGTCAAGTGTCAACGTATACGGAACTATCAAAGTAGAATTTTTTTTTTCAAAGGAATTGAAATGGGCATGACGTATTTTAGACTTTTGTGTACACATATTTGTACCCACTTAAATACCCACAGTTTAATAAACTTGGTTATGACATTTCATCAGATTACTCTGAGTACATATCCTGCATATCAAGTTTTGATGTTAGAATACAACATCTTGATATAATGACTTAATATGTAGTTCAAATGTCTACAGAGTGACTTGAAATGTTGTAAACATGTTCCAGTTTCAAGTGTCTATCATATGTTATAAAAAAAAACTCAACTGTCCCAGTAACACTGCACTTAATTACTTGAAATCCTCCATGATACAATTTTTAATATAAAGAAACGCTAAGATTCCTAGTACATCCAGACTAGTCATATCATGTGTTTAAAGATATAGAATGAGGGAAAAAGAAATACAGTTTAGTAACTCTTACCTGTTTATGTCCTCTGGAGCCCAAATGGGGTGTGGCAAATGTAATAAAATTCATAGGCTCTAATCCTGCAATTTTCCCTTCTAAGTTCTCGTCCTTATTTACATGATGTCCATTTACAGAAGAGTCCCTTTGGACAGACTCATAAAGACTTCCAATAGCATATCTTGCTATTAGGCCACCCAATGAGTGAGCCACAAATGAGATCTTCTGTACACCACTTCTTCTGTTCACAACTGAAATTACCTGTCATAAGAAACATAAGGTCATGTCAAATGTCACATGCTCTTGCCATGAAATCTGAAGTAACTCCTATTTAGCAAATTTCATAACATCCAGAGTTTGAATATTCAATATTAAGCAAGAACGAAGAAGAACAGGCTCAAACATTAAGCTAGCAAGTAGACAAGAGTATGGATAATAAGGAAGTCTTCAGGAAACCATTGTAGTTGATATTTCAGAAAACTCTAATAAAGTAATACAGCTGGTAATAAAAAGTTTTACCTCTTCAGCTAACCTTTGACCCATCAAATCAACGCCATCAAATGTTAGTCTCAAGGAATTGCATTCACTTCCTGTTTGAAAAAGATTATATGATTGACAATAATTTAAGATAGGTAAGATATAAAATAAAACTGGCTTATCTTTGTAACCTGTCTTCTCAGCTTTGTTACAGAAAATGATAGTACCTTCTTCTTTTTCCTTTTCCGAAATACAGAAGAATAATCACTAACTTCTCAGCTGATGACTTGTTATTCCCCCATTCAAATTCTTATATTACTGTGTGTGAGTGAGTATTTATGTGCACGCATAAAAATTATACAACAAAACTGCTTCACTGTCCTGTTTTTGATGGACAACAACAAGAGGATAAGGAGAGCAACTATATTACTGTGCATTTTGTCATTTATAACACATCCTTAAAAGGTCAGTTGACAGCTGAATGCCTTGAAAATAGTTTCTTTTTTTGGGTATGCCTGAGTATGTTGAAGGAACTACTATCATAGCCAAGGGGGAAGGGAAGGAGAAGGAAGGGAGAATGGGAGGAAGAGAGGGCTCTCTCTGGAAGGTTTTGAAAGCAAACCCTTTCCATTTGAATTCAGTATTGATGCCCGAACCTAGATGTCTATGAAATACGAATGTATCTATATGCACATTTTTGAGTTTGGCTGAAATCAAGCAAACAATAACCAGAGTTTTATCACATGCAGGAATGGAAAAGGAAGTTTTTGAAATGCGAAACAAGCAGAAAATTTTTTCTGTCAGGTGTGTGAATATTAAATCCTTTTCTCCATGCTGCTCTATTAGCAACATTCACGCACACCCTATGAATTCCATCCAAGTCATTTTTTGTATACCTCTCCTCCTAGCACCTTCAGCTTTAATCATCTTCTACCTAGATTGATTTCCCCCAATTAACTATAACTCAAATACATATTTTCATAAGCGCAATTAATACCAAAGTTGGAAAAAAAAATTATCATGCAATTCGCAAAGCTCATCACACTGCTGACAAACATCATCCAGATGGCCAATGAATCGCCCGTGGAAGAATTTGTATGATGTTTTTTAACACGGATCAGAGTGCACCTATGACGCTCATAAAGTGTGCATGAAATTAGAAATGCACATCATAATAAAATTGAAAATATGTGTCACATTGCTTTCTCAATTGTACAAGTATATGAGTATTATCCAAGAAGTTCCTGGCACGTACATATTTACATGTCAGAGAAAGGAACATGTATGTGGTAGAAATATTATTGCAATGTCAACCCTTCGCATACTTCAATCCCACCATTCATTTGAGCCAATGGCGTGGAACATTAATGTAAGAGGCAAGTGTATATTCAAATGATAAACCTCTAATCATTTGTTTCGTAAATATGAAGCCTCAATAAGGGGAATAAAAAATAAGCAAAGAGGTATGTGCAAACTCACGATGGACGATTACTTTATCTGGAAGCCTTTTCACGAACTGTTCTGCAGCGAATCTCCAATCTTCTGCACTGAAAAGATGTATAAGAAAGCATTAGAAGTTAAATGGTTTTCTTCTAAAATGGATATGATCTGAAAACTTCTTGAAGCAGGAGTTCCATGTGAACATGATTATAAGATGAAAAAATTACGTGATACAAGTTACATTAGAAACTGTGCTATCTCATACTAGATGACTATGCTTAATATATATTATAGTAGAAAGTGTAGCACTTATTAAGGAACTCTATTTATAAGTTCTATATTGCACTGGTAGCTTTAGAATTTTGGTTGTGTACATATAAGGAGAATAATTGCCACTTGAGTTAAGGTCACAAATTATATGATGTGCTTTCGAGAGTCCAAACTACATGCTCTAAGGGTGCAATCACTTAAGCTCATGAATATCAACAGAAGTACTTAATGTTTTGACCTTAACTTTTGCACATCAAAAGAAGCAGATGCACATGTACATGCACGAAATAATTTATGCAAAATGCTTCCTACTAGAATAAAACTTTTGATAATGATTCGAAATTGTTTCCTTGATCACTTGTCTTTGATAGGCGAATTCTGTGATCAAGTCTTTCATCAAGGGTTAGACTTGATGTGCAAACGTGCGTGCATTGCTATACTTTTCTTTTGATAGGGTTCCTACCCACCTTGGAGTTCTTCATTGTGTACTGTTGTTTGAGTGTGCATACTAGGGGGAGAGAGAGAGAGAGGGAAGGGGGACAGAGTTCCAGCTATCCCTTACTTAATCAAGAGATAAACAATTGCAATATTCAGAACTAGTTAAAGGTGTAGGCTGACTTTTGCATCACTCCATCTCCAATACTTGGTTCAATATCCAGGCCAACTTCAATACTCAACTACGCATAAATAAAACTCAGGCTAGAACCATTTCTATGTTCACTTTCCAACCAACTGATCAAAAGAGAGAATCTGATAAAACTTTTCCTAGGAAGGGAGAAAAAAGATCAGTGGTTATTTTCCCACCATACCCATTATCTCTGGAAAGGATTAACGAGGCAAATCACTATTTAACCCGTCAATAACCACAATGGTCTATTGCCCATCACAGATTTCGGCATTAAGAAAGGTCCAGACTTGAACGGCACGATAAAGAAAATAAGTCAGAATTTTCCATACACTCTAAGGTCCACTTCATACATACAACTAACCAATGCTAGTCTTCGATCGAAGGGCCTCTTGAGTTACTTATAAGGCATTGGAAAAGCACTACAAACGCTTTCATTTTACGTCGGACCCTAAGGGATAAGGAATTACAAGTTGTCTGACAACTAGAACTGTAAAGAGGAGGCAAAAACGCTGGAAAAGCATGGTATCAATCATTTGCTCCAGTTTTCTTACATTAAGGTTATTTAACTCATTCGTTTCAATTCACTTAACATCGGGTTCATTTCAATGATGTTTTCACAAGAACCTCTTAAAACCCCAAAATCTCGAGAAATTTGCGGGGGAAGGTACCTCCCAACCAATCCATTGACCATTATAACCAAATGCTCAGGGAATCCCCTCGGCGTCCCCGAACCCGAAGCCCAGAGATCCTCACCACCCCGAACAGATTCCTTTCCAACTCTTGTTACGCGCTCCTCCTCTTCCTCATCGATCTTAAAGGCAACTGATCGCACTTCGCCGGCTCCGATTTCGCGCTCTCGATCCTCGACGACCCCTGCGCAGATCTCTGCCGTAGCCCTAGCTTCAGGCACGCCATTCCCCTCCGCCCCGCGATGAGGAATTTATCAGAGGCACCAGCGCCGGAGATGACGGCGGACGGCGGCGAAGCGGCGGCGACCATTCGCGGAGATCGATGGGCGAGCTCAAGAGAAAGATGACATTGAGAGCTCTGAGGTTTTAATATTTGGGGGTTTGAGGTTGAGAAACCCTAGGCTTGGGAGAGGAGCTGAAGGCTGCGGACCTCGTCGATTGGTGTAGGGGTAAATTGGTAAGTTTGGATGGGTGGCGCTGCTGGATAAAGGCGGG